TACATGCAGGTGGGCAAAGTTAAGGTTAAACATGCCACCTTTTCTCAGGCATGTCTCAACTCCTGTGCGCCTAAAATTATAACATTGTTCAACTGAGATTTTTTACAGTGTGGAACCCAGCATCTTTCAGGTCAGAAATAGGATGGTGTATAGGTGAAGACAGAGAGATTTTTTAGATGGGCTGTGGAGAGAAAGCAGTCAGCAAAGACGATCTGTTTGAGAAGGATATGAACTATGCAGGGGTGAGGTGGAGCTGGTAATGGTGTACATGCATTGTGAAGAGAGAGGGCTATATCTGAGGTTCCAGATCAGGGAGAGGAATGAAGATGCTTATGAAAGGTTTAGGACTGACATAAGACATAGGCTATGAAATGACAGACATTGGGAGAGTTGGGCAAGTTTCTTGGGAAACTGGGCAGAGTTTGCAGTAAAAATCTCAGGCATATTAAAGTCAGAAAAGGAGCTATCATTTGGCAAGGTTCCTGAAGTCCATGGCGCAGGGGGAGAGTCTGGGCAATGGAATCTGTCCTAAATTACCATGCTGATCATAGCCAGGCCAGTGAGATCCCTGGTATGATTAACGAACCATCTTCTGTGTGTGTGTGTAGTGTGTATATATATCAGTGACTACTCCTGTCATTGATATATACACATTACACACCTCTTAAAAAAGAGGGAGATAGATGATAAACATGATGAACATAGACCTTCCCTGCCCAGCCTGCTCCTCCATCACTAATGTCATGCCTTCTGCTAGATGGCAGAGTCTCTAGAACAGAGATCCTCCCTTCCCACGTGTGCAATGGGGCACTAATCCTCTAGTGCTCTAGTCACACCGGTAACAGGAGCTCCAAGGCAGCTGTGTTCTGCACGGCTGGTCTGTTACTGCTGATGAAGAATGACAGGGCCTTGGGGGAAGCACTGGAGGGGGAGGACTCAAGGTGACTGCGTGGAGCAGAAGCCACCCTAATTATTAAGGGTGAATGAAAGGAAACCTTGCCTTCTGCATCTGCCCACGGTCCCTGGCCCTATTTAGAGAGGTGTCAGTATCTGCACTGGCAGATGGTCCTGGGGGGATGCTGGCTGTTTGCTTTGCATTTCCAGAGATGAAGCTTCAAGGAGGTAGAGCGGGGCTGCCCTAAGATGCCTTGCCCTTGCTGGCTGCCACCAAGAGCTGGTGGAGTACAGACTGCCCCAGTGGACTCTGCTACAGTGCAGCCACTGCCAGTCCAGCTCAGCACAAAAGTGAGCTTGAAACTTGGCCTCTTCCCATCTGAGGCTCTTTGAACAGGGCAGAACTCATTGCTAGTAGAAAAGGAATTCCCTTGGGTAGAAACCTACTTTATGGAACTGGCCCTCAGCCATCAAGATCTTCTGTCTGCCTCCTGGGTCAGCTGCAGCCTGGTATCCCAGCTCCTGCAATCAGCTGGTGCTTCTGTTTTGGCCCCGTGCTCTCGGCAACAGGCAGGATGGCATATGTGGATCCCAATTACCCTGCTGTCCCCCACTGCCAATCTGTCATCGACATCTGCACGGGGATGACTGAAGGGGTGGCAGTGATCTTATTCGGATGGCTGCTAATCCAAGTCCTGCTCAGCAAATATCAGCAAGGTCAGTCTCTCTTTCCTTCCCCAGAATCCCTCCCTTTCCTTTCTTGATTGCTCTTTGTGTGCAAACAGGATTTTGTCCACTGCATCCTTCTGTGCAAGGAGGGGGATGGACCTTATGGGATGCTTTGGCCCAGATCCTCAAAGGAACCTGAGCATCCAACTGTTACTGAAGTCCAGGGGAGTTAGGCCTTTAAACTGGTGCTAAGTGCCTAACTGCTTTTGAGAACCTAGACTTTTGTTTCTTGCTTGACCTACACTTGGACCAAGCAGCATTTGGAATAACACCTATCATCACAATCCCAATAATGTTCTAGAAATGGGCTCCTGGAGAAAGGGGATCTTCTACATGGTGCCCAAAGTGTACAGGAACTGGATGGGCAGATGAGGGATGCTGGCACAAAGAGCCCACAAGATCTATCAGGACAGAGAACTTGGTACCAGGATGGGGTGGGAATGGAGGAGAGAAGCAGCAGAACCTGGCCTGATGAGGTGTAGATATCACTGCACAACCCACACCATAGCACAGGGGTCCTCAAACTACAGCTGATTCAGATGGGATGGGTCAGGGCTCCCACTCCCCTGACAGTTACCCCTACTCCTCCTGCTTTTCCAAGCTCCTGTGTTATTTCTAATGCGTGGAACAATGACTCTGAACTCCCTGAGATAGGAGTGAAGCTCCACACTTGGCTCTAAGAAGCAGCTGTGCACGTTTCTTCAGAGAACTGGCTTCCAGTAACTCCTCGTTTCCCTTTTTCTCTTATCCGATTGTGCTGGTTCCTGAGGCCCTCCCTGGTAAGCTAGATATCACCTGTGTTCTTCCTTTCTTTCATCTCTGCTTCTCCCAGCTCCTGAGATGGAAACCAACTGAAGTAGAGCTGTTCTAAGTCTTCTAGGATGGTGGTTCCTGATGTGGCCCATAGCCTCAATGCTGAATAAGTCAGGTGCTGCAGAAAGCTTCATGCTCAGGTTTCTCTGTCAATCATAGTTTAAACTTTTAGATTCCCTGTGGCTGCAAACAGTGTTGAAATGTTCATAGGCAACATGCTACCCATGAGCCAGGGGTTGTTCCAGATCCTGCTGTGCAGGTGGAACTTCACAGATTATGACACCTCCTTGGTACCTTAGACCGTAGCTTGCTGGCATATAGACATAGCCTGGAAATATGGACAACTGGAATCTGAGTGAAAGCTCTGGTAGGGCCAGATCAAATGGCCTAAATTGAAGCTCCTAACCCCACGTGTGGCTTGCACTGGGTTCAGTGGTAGCTCCAGGTCCTCAGCACCACTGCAAGGCAGACCTTCTCCTGGATCAAATTTAAGCACCCCAGTTTGAAGGTATTGACCTTCCCCTAGATGCTGTGATGTTCGATGTTCTTCAGACCTGTTCAGAGTGAGTCTCTTCCTGTGGAAGGGCATTTTAAGATTGCGCTGTGCATGCTATATTTTTTACTTCTCCCTAGGAAGCAGGATAAACCATCCACCCTTCTCATAGGACACAATGTGTATCTCATTCTTCATGCAAGCATCTCTCACTGCAGCCTGTTGCTTTTCCTTCACCCTCTCATTCCCTGTATTTGAGAGTGCATCCAGCTCCCGAAGTCAATCCTGGTGGCTGTTTTGTTGTTTGATGCAGAATTTCAGGCGCCTTCCCTGCTGTTAAAAAATCTAAACGATTTACTGAAGATAAATATTCGGCCCTCCTCTGGAATGGTCTGAAAGTCAACAGTGTGGGAACTGCCTTAAGTGTTTAAATGCAAGATTGTTCCAGGTTGTATCAGATTCTGTATAAACTACTGGATCCTTGGTGGTGTTTGGCACATGGCATGGTATATTGAATCTATTGATAACTTTAAGACGCTCTCAAACCATGGTTTATGGACCACTGGTGATCCATGATGCCATGGTAAGAGATTTGCAGCTGGTCCACAGTTTGCTACTGGTCCCTGTGTCTCTGCATAGTGTTTTCAATTAGAAGTGTGTTGATACAGGTTCATGTTCACCTGCAAAGAAATGGTGAGGGTTGACAAGGTCCCATTGGCTCAGTTAAGTTTGAGAACTGCTGCATTTAAGATCTGTCACAACACCCACGTTAGCGTGGTCTGGTGCTGGAGTGGTGCTGGAACATGTTCCCAGTGCAAGAGTTTGAGGTTGGAAGAGTTGTGGGGCCACAATGGTCCATCCATAGGGGTGGGAGGAGGTCAAGGTGTCCACCTGGAACAGTCCTATATGCTGGCTGCTTTCTACAACAGGATGGCGGAGGGACTGGCCACATCCAGCTTCTCTAAGCTAGGAAGGGCGTGGGTGCAGAGTCGTAAGGCAGTGGGGCATGCAAAGGACCTGGAGGAACCTCTGGATGTTTGGGTGGGTGATGTTAAAGCTGGGTCTGGTAGCATGACCCTACACCGTATGCTTTTTAATCTGTCAATAGTGACATTTTTTATCCAGCTCAGAACTCCCCCACTTCCAGAATGCTTTTCCTTTCCTTATCGCACAAAGGGGGCACCCCATGATGGCCAGTCAGGCACCAGCCCCCCACATTGACTGGGAAATGAGGTTGAAGAATCTGGCATGTTCTCCCCTGGGTGTTCCAGTAGGGAAATCATGTGTCTTTTATAAACAGTGCGTCAGCATGGCTTCAGGGCTGATAAGCAGAGATTTTTCCATAATCATTATCTTGCTCAGGGTGAGGCTGGGTTTATTTTAGCTTGGCAACTGATGTGTTGAACTGATGTAACACTGCCAGCTCCATTCTTGAATGGTGCTCAGAATGAATAGAGTGTGGCAGATGCCAAAACTCCCAGCCATCCCTCGCTGACCCACTCCCTCTCACCTGCTGTTTTTCCCATTTCCAGGTAAGGCTTGCCTCCTATTTGCAAATAATTTTTCATGGCAACTGGCACAAGCTCCAGCCATGCTGACCTGTTGTGGAATGGTGATTAGAACCGGGCACGTGGGCTGTGTTTAGTATCTGGGTTGAATCAGAACACTGGTTCTGAGTATTTCTAAGCTGGGGGAACTGACATGGGTGGTTTGTGATGGCCAATGTGAATGGAGTGATGTTTGCCAAGGTTTAGTTGTATTCGTTGCTCCACGGATCTTAAGATCGCAAGAATCCATGATGATCCATTAGTCCTTGGAGTACTAAGGTGATCTGCTGAAGCTGAGAATATGAAGGAAGCCTCTGTCTAATCAGTCTCTCTGGCATTTTTAATAGGCCAGTGACACAAGTAGCCAGAGGCACTCTGCTCCATGTTAATCACATTTTCTATCAGCTACCCAGGCATGGCTCCAGCCAGACCATCTCTGCCCATTGGGGAGTTTGCTGGTACATGCAGCCACCTTGATAAGGTGTGACATTATAATATCGTCTTCTTTTTTTCTCTGTGTTCAGAGCATTTGCAGGTTTTCCTTGGAGTGGGGCTGGCTCTTCTATGCTTCAGTCTTCTTCTGAGCTGTGTTGTTTGCTGGCGTCGAAGCAGGCGGTGCAAGCACAACAGAAGCAAAAACCAAGTGCTGGAGCAGACGTTGGTGGACCTGAGGCCTGCTCTGCCTTCCAAGACCACTGCTGTGGCCATCCAGCAGCAATACACAAGGACAGTAGGAGAGGCAGCCAATGACTCACCGGGTTCCCCTGGTTGTGGCAGCCCACCAAACCGCACAGTCCTCAGCAGGGCCTCTTTATCCAGCTACCCTTTCTCCCAGACGCTCAAACTGCCCTCTATGCTGCTGGAGGGCTGGGAGCACCGGCGCAACATTTCCAGCAACAGCATTTTCTACAATGAGCGCAGGCCACTGACAAGCCCCATACAAGGAGCCAGCCTCAACCAGTCATACACCGTGCCAGAGTACCTGTCCAGCACCAGTTCCAAACCGCAGCCCCAGCTCCATTTCACTTTGTTGTATTCGCAGTCTGAGGCAACCCTTACCGTGACGGTGATTGGTGTCTCCCATCTCCCTAAGGTGTCCCGAAGCAGCCGCAGCTCCTACGTCAAGGTGTACCTGCTTCCCAGATTCATTGAGCCTCAGCGCACGGCTGTGCGCAGAAAGAGCCTTAACCCAGAATTTCAAGAGCAGTTCCAGTTTGGCCGCTACAGCTTGGAGGAGCTGAGGCGCTTCACACTGGGCTTTGCAGTCTACATGAAGGCTCGCAGCCTCAAGGATTTGTTCATCGGGGAAGTGATGTTCCCATGTGCCCAAGTCACCTGGAATCCCAAGGTGTCCTCCAGCTACTCTTGGGAGCTCTCAACCACCAAAACCAAACTCAGAAAGGTCAGGACGGGAGCTGGGGCCCCCACTGTGGGGCTAGCAGTTGTATTACACCAGATAAGGTCCCAGAGAAGTAACACTGCACTGTGCTGTAGCACAGCGTGTAACTTTCTTGTGGAACTCATTGCCACTAGATGTGGAGGCTTGGAAGGTTAACCCAAAAGGGGATTGGACCTATTCTAGGAGGAAAGGTCCATCAGCAGGTATCAAATGTGGCAGACAGAGGTGCAGCCTCTAAATCAGAACTTCCTAAACCCCTGAACGGTGGAAGCTGCAGTGGGAGAGAAGCGGGGAGTGGAAAATTCTGAGCATTCCCTGTTCACTTTCCCCATCAGCATCCCCTCTCTGTCACCCTGCAAGAGTGGATACCAGCCTGGGTGGACCTATGGTCTGACCCAGTATAAGACATTTATTATGTTCTGAAAAAGAGTCTGCTCATTGCAAGAACTCAGTGCGGTGTCATTCAGCAGCACATCTGCAAGGCAGATGGTATTTTAAGGTTCCAGGATTTCATATGTGACTACATCCTTCTAAGTGGCATATCAGACCTACTTGGAGGGATCGTCTTGTGTGAAAAGGGAGGCTCATGTTGGTTTTCCTTTAGCTCAAGAGGTTAATAGGGTGCTAAGGCTAAGCCCATTTTGGCTGGAATAACAGCCACAGCCTGTGAGGCTGGTTGGCCAGAGCATGGTATTGGGGTGGAGATAGCTCTGGTAAGATTAGGGAGAACCTCCCTTCTCATCCCACTCAGTTTGTAACTCTTGGGCCCAACTGACTTTCTCCCTTTCTAGGGAAGTATTGTGTGCCCTCAACATGTGGAGATCATTTAGGCTTTAACTGTTGCCTTTGTCTGCGCTGTTTCAGTGTCTCAGTTCCCAAGACGTGAGCTCCAGCATTTCGTCCTCCCAACCCAGATCCCTGGGGCAGCTCTTCCTCCTCCTCCAGTACCAGGCTCTAGCCAACCGTATCAAGGTGCTGATCCGCAAGGCAGAGAATCTGAGTCGGCTCACACGCATGCCAGGCACACCAGGTAGGATGGGGCGAGGGGAGAAGATGGGGCTTGAGAGGATTTGGTGGAACAGAAGCCTTTGGCAGTGTGGGAGGAGGTAAGAAGAGCTTCCGATATAGAGTATCCCAGTATTGCACATACACTTCTGTTGCTCAGGGTCTCCCACAATACACTGTCTTGAACATTGCTCTGTCTAGACTATTCCCACCTCTGCCTGACTCCTTAGCGTCAAACTAATGTCTCATATAGCTTAGTTCCTCTGTCTGAGTCTCTGAATTCTCCGGTTCCAGACCACTACATTGTAATTCACCTTTACCACGATGGCAAAATCATTGACACAAAGGAAACCAAGGGTATCGCAGGCTACAACCCTGTCTGGAACATGCCCTTCCTCTTCAGCATCCCATCAGGAGACATCCAGCAGCAGCAGCTGTCCCTAGAGTTCATCGTGATGCAGGTGGGTTGGACAGGAACCAGGATGCAGGAGCATGTCAGATGATACATGCATGTATGCATCCTATAGGGCAAAGTGAGGTTTTATCTGAACAGGCATCACTTCTACATGGCTCCTGAGAGCAAACTCCTGATTGGAGGGGCATTTTGGGGACAGGGTGGCCAACATCTTTGGCCCTTATTAATCCCCATGGCCTTCTTGAGTGCACTCTGATCCCTTTCCCCCTGCCTTATCTTCTGCTCTGCTTTCTGCTCCCTGCCCTGTGCTCCCTACCTGATCTGCCACATATTATACCAGTAGCTGCCTATGCCAGTTGTGGCTTGCATGCTGCAGTTTGGCCACCCTTGTTCTAGACAAAGCCCTGGTGGCTTCTCCAGTGGAGGCTGTAACTTCTGCTTCATGCTGCCATTTCACCTTCCTTCCCCCAGGCTCATATCTATACACGCAGCTGCACCCTGGGCCGAGTGCTGATTGGTCCCAATGCCCCAGAAACGGGGCTGATCCACTGGAAGGAGATGTGTAGCCGAGGGCAAGTGGAATCAGCACGGTGGCATTTAATACAACCGGATGCTTCTAGACTTAGTCCTTGACTCCCCCAAAGCCATTCAGCTGTATTCTTAGTGGAGCTCCTCCATCTGCTGGAGCAGAAGGGCAGGTTTGTCAGATCTATTTGCTAGCACAGTTGATCCCTGTTGGCCGTGCTGCCGAGTTAAAGAACTGTGGTCCCAGAGAACGCGTGACCACAGCTGAAGACTCGTCTCTATCTTCAGGGACTAAGGGATATTATACCGGGCTTAAGTATAATAGGCTCCACTCTGGGCTACACTGGAATACTACAAACCAATAGCTTTGGCTGGAAAAGGAAGGAGCCAGGGACTCAAAGCAAGACTTTCTTTGTTAAATGTCTTCGGTAGGATAGATCTTGTGTCTGAACATAATGGGAGAAAACCCCACCCTTAAGTCCTGGCTGTTCCCACAGGAAGGTGAGAAGGTAACAGCAAAGAAAGGAGGGCAAGAGTTAGAAATGAGGGAGGGATGTCTGAGGGAGGGAGAGGAAGATGGCTTGGAATGGGCCGAGGCCTCCTTTCTCAGAAGGATTCTGGGCTTGGCATCCAAAGGTAACTTGTGATCAAAGTTAAAAGGCCACTTCGGGTGCACTGTGCCAGACCCAGCCTTGGTATAAGCCAATGCAAATGCATGGCCTTCACTGGAGTTATGACCCCTGACTCCATGGATGATGCTTTAGTGAAGGCAGTGGGGTTTTGACCACTACCAGCTATATTTGGCCCATGTTGTAGTCACATGGATTCTGCTAGGAGCAGTATGGAAGACCATCATGCTACAGCCACAGTGACCTCCAGATCATTCCTTTCCACTCATTGGGATCAGTCAGATGACATGTGGATGAAATGTCAGCCTTTATTTCACAGACCTCAGCAGCAAGTACCAGGTTTATCACACACTATTGTCAACTGTCATAATTTTTGGCGTTGTTCTTAAAGGCTACGTTTCAGGATTGTGAACAACTTAGCTCTTTCTTATATATATATTTAACAACACTGATCATATAGAGCAGTGGACTGTGGAGTCGCTTTGAATGGAGAACCCCTCATCTTTGGAAGAGAAGTGGCCGCAGGGTCTGGAAGGCCCTAAGACACCCAGTCCTACCTTCATAACTAAGCTGCACTCCCACCTCCTTGCTTCATAATAGGTATTGAACTGCTGTATGTCTCACTGACGTATTTCTTACTGTTCAGCCTCACCCCGTCCTGGGATGGTGCTGTCTCTCCTGGCCCAGGCTGTTCCATGCTTCCCTTGCACATATAGCTCTGGAATTCAGAGCTAGGCTGGGCTCAGATGGGCTAGGTGGGAAAACGGGAATTTTACATGCGGCAGAGAGGAAGCCTCACAACTGAAAAGCAGTAGGCTCAGAGCCTGAGATTCCCCTGTCTTGCTTTAAGCAGCAAATGCATATTTAATGTAACTGGAGTAACAAATACACAGATTAAAAAACTGTATAGATGCACTATGTTCTAGACTGACCTTCTGTATGATATGAGAACAAGGATGAAATGATCAGCTGGGGACATTGTAATCACAGCTTGTTGGGCTCTTGCTGACAATTACAGTTGTATTTTTATGCCAGGTGCAGTTCAGTAAGTTGGCTGTGGCCAACCTCTCCTCCTACCTTTTCCTCGCACGTGTCCTGTGGTTAAAAAAAACCTGACCCCAGAATGATCAGCTACTTATACAGACATGTTCAAATCAGCGAAAAGTATCTAACAATACCTAAGGTTATTGGCCTGGCAGGCTGTTTGAGAACACACAAGCTTTCCATAGGAGCTGGGTAGACTCCAAGATGGCTGATAGAAAGTGACATAATTTGGGAAAGCTTAAAACCTTTCCTGTATAGTGCCGGGTCTGGACCTGAAACACAGTCACTGCCTGCTGGTGTAAAACTGCATTTCCCTTCCACATCTATCCCCTTTAAAAATAAACAAACACAAGAAATCTGGCCTCAAAGTGCATTGCTGCATACACACTGCCTTTTTTCATGGCATCCAGCTGTACCAAAGACAAAACACAACTAAAAGGGCTTCCTAGAGTTTTAAATTTAAGCCTCAAATCTGATTAAGATAATGTGCAATTACCATATTTTCTCATATACCACACATCTTTTTATTCCACAAAGTATGCATTATATGGGAGAAATATGGTAAAGAGTATTTTCTGCGACTTACCAAGTGAAATCAAGAGTAAAATTGGCAGAAATCCACAGGGAGCAGAACAATGGGTAGGCTCTGCTCCCCAGCTGCTGCCACTCCACTACCTATTACAAAGAAGGATCTTTTTTTTTCATTCTGCCTTTCAAAAAAAGAAAAAAGTGCATTTTATATTTCAGGGCATGTTGTACGTAATAAAATACAGTAACATAAATGCGTGCAGTGTTTCGAAATAACCTGGACTAAACTGATGGCTGTGCTGGGTAGGAGCATGGGTAATGATGGCATATATGTATGGGTATGAAGATGCAGCACTGCTCCCTCCTGGCTGGATCTGAAACTGCACATCCATGTGTCACCAGCTCTCTTTTCTTAGGACTCTCCTGAAAGTTGGGGGCAGAGGCCTGCAGCTCTGGGGCAGTAGGCAGGGGCAGAATTCTAGCCCTGCCCTCCCTGGGAGGTTCAGCAAGGTCCTGGTGCCTGGCTGTTCTTGTGCTATTGACCCAAGACCGTCCTAGTGGTCTCTTTAGAACAGCAGCATGCTGAAGAGGTGCAAGGGGGTTCAGGTACTTGCCCATTAGGGACCTGCCTTTTGTTTTTATGTGGAAGGTGCTTTGGTAACAGAGTAATGGGTGGATATCAAAACATCTCAGCTAGTGAAGGATACTGATGTCTCTCTATTGGTGGGCACCACTGGCTGGGGAAGGAAGAGAACCCATTCCCCCAAACATCTCTAGACAACAAGGATCTTGGATCTTACTGCATTGCAGAAAAATAGGCTGAACCCAAATCCTCAATCTGAGCGCTGGGGAAGAGTCAGACCTAGAACTCAGGCCCTACCCTTGTAAGAGGTCTTCTACCTTAGACTCCCAGCCCTCTCCTCTCTCAAGGCCGTGTTTTTTGTGTGGGCTTGGAAGAAGAACAGTCCCAGAGACAGCAACACAAATTCCAGGTTTTTATGGAAAAGGAACAAATAGTGTTTCCATGCAAGAGGTAGAATATAAGAATATATATGGAGGTACAAAAACAGTGAGTGATGCTTCTTTCCCATACAAGAAATAAGTCACAGGGGGACAGAGATCAGGACCCTGGGATTTCACTGCAGGCATAAGATGGTGTGGAGAATACATGGCTGCTTTGCAGAAGGAAAACAGTGTGGTCCAGAGGGTTTGGGGCCTTTCCAGAACTCAAATCCCCCTGTGACCACACTGAAAGGCCTTGGCTGTCTTCTCCTGGTGCAGAAGCTTTGCTAATGGGGCATGTGCCTCTTCTGTGCTTTATATTCCTGCCCTTTGGAAGGGCTGTGCCTTCTTAGCATGGCTTGAGAGCACCATGAGATCTTTTTCCTCTGATGCAAATGAGGGGCACACCAGGATCTGTTGTGTGATGATCCTCTCAGACCCACCTCCAGCGTAGGTCTGCTCCACTGGAACGGTGGTGTCATGTAGACATACCAGAGCTAGATTAAAACTAGCTGGTGCAGATTAACCAGCCAAGTATGTACTCAACTTCTTGGGCTTGTTTGCCAGACTACTCTGAGCTTCAACCTGTCAGGTAACATACTATGGCTGCTCAAGCTAGGCAGCTAGACTGTCTGTGTCCTTACCATACTGCAGTGTGGATGTACCCTCCCAGGTGAAGAACTAGGGGCAGCAAACTACAGAGAGAGACTACTACCTGTTCCTCAAGTCGTCTTCTGAGCAGTGCTGCTGGATTCCAACAGCCTGGAGTGAGTTACTTGATAAAAATGTATCTATTCTTCTCCCTGGAATACCTAGCCTACTCTTTTCCTCTCAAACACTTATATCTTAGCTCTGTGAGTGCTGACATGTCTAGAGGAGGAGGAGAACCAACCCCTCCATTTCATAGATCCTTATCGCACGCAGAAGTTGAGGCTTGCCCTATCTACAAATCACCTGAAGCTCCCTGAAGACTGTGGTCTACTACAGTTCCAGTTCTCTAGCATAATGGAAATCTCTGCTATAAAAGTAAAGAGAGAGACAGAGCTTTATTGGGGAACAGTCCAAGACACTGAAACAAACTCCCCCGCAACCCAAGGACCATCACAAAACTCACCCCCTGCCAGACATGCTTCTCTAAGCTATCTTCTCCAATACAAACACAAACAATACATGTGGAATCCTTTTTCTCACTGATCATACCTCTTTGTGACCCTTCCCCTTTCCCCCCACTCAGCTCCTGGAAGCCCAGGTGCCTGGGAGAAGGAGCTCAGCTGTGGGAGTACAAACCCCTCAAGGTCCCCCCCAACCACAAACACCAACAGGAAGGGTAATGATGGGGGAAAGAGACCAGCCGGCCCCATTACCAAGCTGAAAACAGGAACCAGGAACTTGCTACCTCCACTGACATCCCAGCTAGGAGCTATAGCAAACAGTTCAGAGAAGAAATGGAGCAGGCCACCAAAAGCCACCTTTAGCAGTCAGGACTCATAGTAGAGAAGATATCTTTTATTAGACCAATGAGATTTTTGCAAAAAATCTTGTTGGTCTAATAAAAGATATCAACTCTACTACAAGTCCTGATTGCTTTTTCCTCTAGACCAATACGGCTTCAACCTGGATACCTGACCTTTAAGCAGCACACAGGATGTTTTTGCCATCACAGCTGTTCCCTACCTTAGTTATCTGAAGGTTCAGGGCTCCCCATGAATTTAAAGGGAGACCTAGGTCTTTGTAGCTGGAAGGGTTTTGGCAAGAGAAGGGCTGATCCCCTGGGAGTGAGCAAGGATTCCTGGCTGCCAGCCTGACTACAGTGACTCAGCAGCAAGGACCCGGGCTCTGGGGAGCATCTGCCAGAGGATACAGGGGAGGAGGGAAGACTCTGCGGGCAAGGCGGGGGCAGCTCCCTGCTCAGAGGAGAGGCCGGTAGCTTGCTCCCCAGGGTGGGTGGTTCTGGCCTCATCTGGGACCTGCGGAGCTGCCTGCCACTGCTTCCAGAAGCAAAGCTCCTGTGCTCATCTCCAGCATCAGGAGATGCCACTTGTGCGGCCACACACAAGTCCTCCCTGTTGCATGAGGAGGACAGAGAGGAAGCGTGCTGGTCACCACCAGGAGAAGGTGCTGGGCTGTCACTCCGCTGGCTCAATGCCAGGTCCAGTTCCTGCCGGCTGGAGAGCCGAGGTACCAGTAAGTTAGAGCTGGTCCTTTCCTGGTGCTGCTGGGGGAGGCTGCGGATGGCCTGGATTTGCTGTTGAAACCTCAGTTTTGCTGTTGGGGAAAGAGGTGAAAGGATATTGCTGGGTCTGAGCGGGGCACTACCACTAAAAAAGGTCTAAGCTGCACCACTTTCCCCTGGGCTCAGCAAGAGAAGCCATCAGAGATGAACTAGACTAGAGCCAGTTCCTCCCCTTGTATGTCCCCGGATTGCAAGGATGCCCTGGGCTTGCTCTACAGGGTACGATGAACAGGGAAGCAGGGAGCCTGGCTGGAGTCAAAAAGCAAAGACACTAACACCCACTAAATGAATCTCTAAGCTCCAAAGTGTACTACAGCCATCATCCAGGCACAGATTTCTCCCCCAGGTGCCGTGGGAGTGCCTCTGTTAGATGTGGCCTGTGCAGTGTGGCACAGATTCTCAAAGGTATTTAGGCAGCTCCTATTGCAATCAATAGGCATGAAGCACTGAGATGCCCCTGGTTATCTGGGCCTACACACTTTCCCCCAAAGCATCCAGAAATCAGCTGCTCTCAGAGGCAGAGGATGACTGGAGTATTCAGGGGCGTGAACAGTCTCAGTGTGGAAGGGCTCTTGCTTCCTGCTAGCACCAGCCAGGACTAAGAGCACTCAACACTTCACAAGATCAAGCCCTAGCTTGCAGAACGATCCTGAGATTTCACTCTTCACTGGCTGTTTCTAAATGAGCCAGGTCTCCCCTAACTCTCTCCGGTGCTATTGCCCAGTCCTCGCACAGCTGCCCTGCAGGAGACTGTGAGCTTCCAGGGCTGCGGGAACACAGCCACCCTACCTTTCATCAGGTTTTCATTCTTCTGCTGCAGCCCCTGGATCTCGGAGGCCATGGCAGAGACCTGCAAACACAGAGCGGCTCTGTTTAGTGACCTCCAGGCCTCCGTCTAGTGGGAGGCTGTGAAGACAGCTGGTTGCTTACAGGGCAGCCAGAGGGGCCAATATGATGGGGAGGAGGGGTGTGTAAGGGGATGCCCTGAGAATGCGTGGGTGAGTGGATGGAGGGGAGAGGTGGGCTCCTGCAGGGGTCTGGGTGAGTGTTCACAGGGCCCTTGGCTTCTTTGCTCTGAGATGAAGAAAAAGGCTTTTACCGCATGGGTTTGCCTCAAACCTACCCCTTCCCGGTGACATATCCCATGATGCACTTGGTCATAGATCAGGGAGGCACCAATACCAACACCAGCCCCTGCCTGCCCTGCTCCTGGCTTTAGAAAGCTGAATTTCCAGCTCTTCCCCAGCATCCCTCCCTGAGCCACAGGCCACTCCTTGCAGCAAGGTGCCTGCAGCGATACCATTTCTGTTTTTTCTTGCAGTTGCCGCCTGAGGCTTTGGGCATCTTCAGTGCTGCCAGGGAGGCCCGTGTCTCCTGCCTGCTTTTCCTTCAGCTCCTCCTTGGGTTTCTTGGTGTCTCCTCTCACATCCTGTAGGAGCCAGATGAGACCAAAATCAGGATTGCTTTTGTGGTAGATGCTTCGACTAGGACATAGAGGGTTCCTGGGAAAGGACACCGTAGTGATTTTAGTGCCACCAGACGGCTAATTCCACCTCCTTCCACATTCAGGTGCTGCCTGTGTTCCTCTTGCTGCAAAGCTGCTCTGCAGGAAACCAGCAGCCATGTCCAGTGCCATTCTGGGGGGACTGGGGCAATGCACCTGGGTGGGCAATGGAAAAGCTATTCTTACCTCTTGAGATATCCTAGCCCACTGCCCTGCTGAGTTCCCAGCCTTCTGTCCTGGCAGCTTCCTGCAGACTGATGGTAGGTGTTGCCTCTGCTTGAACAGGCCCTTGAGCTGTTGGAGAAGCAGAATCAATCTGAGGAGCTCTCCCAAACCTAAGCTGGCTTTGGGGCTGGTAGACTTATCCCCCAGCTGTGAGAGGCCCTGGATTGTAATGTTACAATCTCCATCCCCTGCCAGGTCTTTAAGGGCCTTGCCTTTCCCCAGCTTGTAGTGACCCATCCCAGTCCCTCCCAAGGGGGATCTAGTGGCTCAAGTCACTGCAAATTTTTCCA